ATGACTCATATTTATAATCGATAATAACAACTTTCAGGTGATAACCATAGAAAGTTCATGAGAAAATCTTGCCGCCATGGTCTACGAACATGTCTCTGATTTTGGACAGCCCTGTGGGATGCCTGATAATTGTCATTACATGATTCGTACTCCGTAAAATGTCACCAGTTTCGGAGAAGTTTTTTTTTTCTAAGTTTGTTGGAAGCTGATCAAGTTTTTGTTGTTTCATTACTTCCCACAATGCAATTTTGTGTATTATATCTTTATTCAAGGCTTTCTGAGAAATTAAATCAACATAGACCTCATTTATTAAGTGAGTGAAGGTTTAAAGGTCATCATTAATGTTCAAATGGTAGGTAGTTGTGTATATAGAACAAATAGTGATGAATATTAATTGACTCTTGAGCTGGATTTGAAAACTGCGTCCTTGATTGTTATACTACTGCTCATTCATGTTCAAATTCAAATTCAGATTAATTTGATTCACTCTCAAAAACACATCAAAATGCAAGTACAGTAACATCTCCCAATTACAAACCTCCCAATTACGAACTTTCAATTTCACGAACCCAATTTCCGACGATGAGGTCATTACGAACGATCGTATTGAACTACAAAAACACTTATAATTGTATTTAAAAGTCTTCAAAAATAATATAAAATGTTATATCAACTAAGAAAAAAAAAACATTTTAATGAATAAAGTGACATAAAACTAAGTTTAAAGCATGAAATATCGATCATTTTCAGCCGATATTATATTACATTTGAGCATGTGCTAGCCCTGTACTTTGTAGCATAGGCCTACCCACACCACACTGGGATGCTATAAAATTTCGCTCTCTGAATTACAAATTTTCTCTGTTCGGATGGAGAGGTACGTAATTGGGAGATGTTACTGTAAAGAAATAGTGAATTCGAAATGAATGGAAAGGGAACACCAAAACAAACACCATAAACTTAAAAAGCTTGTTTGAATGGTGTTTCCAAACAGCCACCCCTATCTAAACTACTGTAACTTAAAAAATAAATAAAATACAATTGTTGTACTATTATATTTAAATCTTAATTATCATATTACTATATTGTCATATTTTAAAATCATTCTTACGTAATTATGCATGGGATGAGAGAAGATTCCCCCACCGGATGGGTCAAGGGCCTTCCCCTATAAGAGACAGGAGCTTGTCTGGGCCGTCAGACCATAAAAAATATAAAAATAGGGCTCACACCAAGCCAACACATGTCTGTCACAGTCTGAGATTGCCATTTCCGACCATCCAGAGGTTCCTATTCTTAAAAAAATTTCATTTGGAAGGTTAACCTCTTATCAAATCCTTCTCCCAGCTCGGGCCTACAAGCTCAAGTCCCCTGTTGGACAGCTTAACCACCCAGAAAATATATCCTAGAGCCGCCACTGATGAAAAGGTGGACGGACTGTGTCCTTGATGTTGTTATACTGCTATTTATGCGAGGTTAACTGATGCTTAGATGGATGAAATTATTAATAATAAACGAATGAATGGAATAAAAAAATGGATGGATAAAGAGATAAATGGATGAGATGGGTAAATGAATAAGAGATAGATGAATGCGGAAGATAAATTGAAGGATTGATAAATGAGTGAAAGAATTAGGTGAATGAATGGATGAATAAAGAAAGGAAGGAACAGATAATAGAATTATATATTAACAAAACTTCATAAATATATGAATGAAAGTATGAACGAAATAAAGGAAAGGTTGAATTATAAAATCAATTTCAAATTGGCGGACAAGTATAGAAAGGAAACAATTGAACAAATAAATTGATGAATAATGATGGGAATAATTCATAGGTGAATGAATAAATGAACAAATGAGGCGATCAGTGAAGGGATTAATGCAATATTGAAGGGATTTTCTTGACGAATAAGTAAATGAATTTAAAAATAAATAGATTTATAAATAAATGGTTGGATAAACATGTGAAAGGATTTAAAAATATATAAAGGAATTGTTAACTTATATGTAAATAAATTGATAAATTAACAATTGATAACAATACGATATATATTTTATTTTGCCCAAAGGGAATTTCATCGGGTGAACATGAACAATGAATATAAATTAACTGATGAAGTGATAAAAGTGTTAATGATGGAAGGACAAAATAAATGGTAGTTTTGTGGGGATAATATGTCAACGGATAAGGTGACAAATAGATGAAGAGGTTGAAGAATGAATAAAGGAAAACCGGGATGAATAAATAAATGAATTATTGAATAGATGAAAGGATTAATAATTGAATTGATGAAGAAGTTGATGAATGAATAAACAAATCATTTGATGGATACATGGATGGATGAACAAACAATGAAAGTGTTGATAAATGAATGGATGGAAAAGAAACAAATGGATACAGGGATTGATGCATGAATTAATGAACGTATAAAGAGATTGGTGATAGAAAGGTAAAGTAAACTAACAAATGGATTGGTGAATGAATGAATGAATGGATTAGGTATATTGAATAAATATAGGTTTATGATTTAATAGCTAGATAAGTAAATTAATTTTAATAATATACAGATTTATAAAGCACCGTTCTATGGATGCAATTATTGTATTGTTAATTAAATAGATGAATAAATTATTTAAAATATTATATTTATGGATGAATTACTTAATGGATTGATATTTTTTAGTTGTGTTGGAATAAATGAATGATTTATCAAGTAGGAATGAATGACTGAATAATAAACCATTAACCAATGAATTGTTGATTAAAAAAATTAATGAATACAACCGAAATGATTGATTTACAATTTCTTGTGGCTGTTCAATTCCGTGTAGCTATTTTTAATATTTGATAAGCAAAAGAGTTGTACGAAGATAAACATTTTAACAAATATAAACCCTAATTACAATGACAGCTGTTATAAAAATGTGAAATACAATATTTTTATTATTGAAGGAAGTATAATTTGAAATATAACCGTGTAGCAAATGTCCACAGGTAGTCATTGTGTAAAATAGTAATTAAGGCGGAAGCTAATGTGTATATCGTTTTACCTGTTCTGTCCATGTTGTCTATCACAAATGTACTCTAGTGTGATGGTTGTTTAATGTGGTTAGGTGAGGGATGTGGCATTAATGTCATACGTCAACATTGTTGTCAAATGTCACAGAAGTTTCCTCCGGTGTACTCCTGAGACGCAAATTGAACTTTGATCTGCAGTTTTAATGACAGAAGAAAGATTAAAAATTTTGAAATGTGTTGAAAAGATTATGTTAATGTTTTTATACAAATCTTTGATATGTGTTTTATTCTCTGTAAATGCTATTGTCCACTGAGAATTAGTTCTCATATCCAAAGTACTGTAGAATATTTTAAATTAATCTAACTAGCAAGACATATATATGTGCCGGGTCTGGGGGAAGGGGGTCAAAATTGGTGTTCTCCCTCCCCTCACCTGCAACAGCCAAAAGAGTCACTAACCAAGTGTGAAATCATGTAGATAAAAGAGATTAAACTGCTAAAACTCTTAAGTTATTCCTACAATAGTTAAGGATCCGGGAAACACCCCAAAAGCATGCTCTCTCTCATAGGTTTTACTGCATTGGACCTCTGGTCCTTGACTGCCAAATGTGCCGCCCTGGCAAAAACAATCAGCATCCACCACCAAAACCTGATATTCTCTGTTGAGGTAAACAATGTTTTAAAGGGGTTTTTTCAGATTTTATCTACTACAGTATCTTTTATTGAAGCTTACTGCTTCTTCTCTATTATAGAGCAGTGAATTTAACCATGGAGAAAATAAATTAGATTTAACAGACTAAAGTCTGTTAAAAATGCATTGTAACTGGACGAAATTACTTTATTGTTATTTCCAAATACAGTAACATAGCATGACATATTGATAGAATCTATGGTCAAAGTTGAATACACTATACTTGGAGAGGTGACAAAATTAGCTCTGACGCGCCAACATTCAAATTACCCTCTAATTGAAGAGTTCAAAAATATATCATAATGCAATCAGTTTAAAAAAATGTAACACCTATATATTTCTTAGGCTTGTTCTTAAACAAGATTTGTCCGAGTTTAGAACAGAATACATAAAAACTCGCTGAAGTGAGAGAAGTTTAATTTCCTTATTGCTAAAGAAACCTGGGAAAATATGATATCCTAATTAGTTTAAATATCATCTTGATTAGAGAAGAAAAATATCTATTATAATATTTTGTACCAATAATGATGATGATTTTGGGGCCACATTTTTAGCTTCCTTCTTAGCACTCCTAATTTCTTTTTAGTGTGGCATTTATAAAAGTTTTGAAAATAGCGTAGCATTTCAAATAAGTGCCAAAGTGTTTATTTATTTAGAATATATCTTAATAAGCGCATCTATTAATATTTGGTGCTTAACGGCAAAGTAATTTATGTTTGTTATAATCTTCATTTGAGATCAGTGCTTATTCGTTCATTTATGGTGTGGTAGAGCTGCTGAACATTATAGAAATTAATATTTTTGCAATACCCACTCAGGAACAGAGAATTGTGGAAGACAATTTGATCAGCAGTAGTGCCAGTGGGATGGGTTTGCGGTAGGGGTGTTTTTTGCAGAGTTCCCCTAATAGTAATGGGAAAAAGATATTGATACTGCTTTCTGATAAAAATAAAACAAGAATGACATAACATGACAATATTGAATTAGAGTTCAGAAGGATTTGAAAGCCATTGCTGGAAGAGAGTCAACATATTGGCAAACCATATTAAAATTTTAATTTTTTTTTTATATTTTAAGATAATTTATGGTATGTTTTTATCATTATCAAGAACATGAATATTTTTTTTTCACCTTATACTTTACATCCATCCCTTTATTATTGTCGCTATTTTTACCATATTATTTTATAGATATTCTTGTTATTATTTTATTTAATATTATAACTTTTCATTATATATTGTTTTTGTTGTTTTTACCATTGTGATGTTGTTATGTCTATTATTGCAGGTACTCCATCAACAAATGGACAAAGCCATTGAAGAGGTCATGAATTTAAAGAAAGAAAATGCACAATTGAAGGAAGAAAATATAGCATACAGTAACAAATTTCTAGGCCTGGAAACGGAGGTGAACCAGTTAAGACCTTTGGAGAAACAGGCCACGGAGCTATCATTGGACCTACAGGAGGCCAAGCAGAAGGTACGTGAATTGGGGCTACAACTTATGGACAAGGAAAATATATTATCTGTGCCACCTGAGCCTTATGATCACAAAGACCGGGCTGAGTTAGTTAAGTTGAAAAAAGAAGTTGTGAGATTAACGAAAGATGTTGAAAGCGCCCAGAATGAGATGTTGACGCACCGGGAGAAAGCTGTGTCATACCAACAGCAGCTTCTAGATAGCACGAATACTCTGCTTGAGGAGCAAGATGAAAAAGAGAAATTGTTAATTTTATTAGGTCACACACAAGACGAACTACAAGAACTGAAAAAGAAAACCAGATTTGAAGCCTCAAATGCCGACTCTAAGAACGAAGTAAGCTTCAAAGAATTTGTAGTATTAAAACGTGAATTAAACTTATTGAAAGATGAGAATTTGCGATTAAAGCAGGGAAGAAAAAGTTCTCAATCTTTGCCATGTTTGAAAGGCTCGACCACGACGTCTAAAGCCAGCATCTGGTCACACAGTAGCAAAGGCGACATGGGCTTAACAAATAGTGCATCGAAATTAAGAAGTATTCCACATTCGTTAAAGAAATATTGACAAAATCTTGGATTTTTTAATGCGTAGATTTTTTTGTAATCATGTAGAATGGTATTAATCGTTGCATTCAGCACCATGCAGAATGTTTTAACATACGCTGATCAATAAGCTACGCGCCGACAGCTGTTACATCTTTTCACCGAGGTATTAATCTAATCTTATCCATTTGCGTTTTTCTTCGTGATTGATGAAAGATAAATGAGTTTGCGATCATTTCAAAATTTAGTATCCAAGGCATAATTGGTATACGCATCATCCATTTCCTGACTTCCTGTTAATTAAACTATCCCAAAAACAGCTTCACATTTGTGATGTTCTTTTTTCTTAATTTTTTAAATGTTACTTTTTCAATCAGTTTTGTACATCTGTCTGTATAGGCCTATTGTTCATGGTTTCTGTTTTTTGTTGTGCAACCTGTTTTAATGGCGGTACATTCTGAAGACATTAGCGCTAATTGCTATGTTTCAGCTGTTCTGATTGGCTTGAAAATGACAAGCAGATTGCCTAGAACTAGGGTGAAATCAATCATACATCAGCGTGCCAGGTGAAAATGACGTCTTGTTTGACTTTGACTCTGCCGACAGAACATCTTGGAACCGCATCACAGCGCATCCTTCATCCACGACCATATACATCATCAGTATCTCTTTATAGGATATGCCATTGGTTTTGATCTGCGTGGTTGTGACATTTCGTAACTATTAAAATAATAACTCCCTATCAGAAACCAGCCAATGACCTTGACGGTAATTGTCACTAAGATCATTTTGCCATACCTGTCTCTATCCTTAGTTAGTTGTTGACCCAGAAAAACTCACCCTGAAAACTACACCAGTATGTAAACAATATCTCTCTTTTTAATGTTCATTAGCATCATTCACATGAAAAATAAATCAATTGGAGGGTAAATCATGTGCTTCTTTTTATGATGGGATATCAGTGTGGTAAACAACGTCAATCATGATCGCAGTCTATTACCCCCCTTCCTCTGGTTATTAGTGTAAATATACTAGCATGCAGTATATTACTTTATTGCTTATTTACTCATGTGTGGAATGTTTGTGGTTATTCATATTAACGCCATATCAAAAAATAATCACGTTTCTCATCTCATGAGATTTTTTTTTTTCTTTTTGATTCACGAAGGTGACCACTGCACATGCACAACATGTCTAATCTTTAGCCAGACCCCGGTGCATAAGGATATTCATTGCTTACAAAGATGGCCATATAAAAAAATATTCATGTTCTTCTTCTGATCTGTTGACATTTTTTCCCCCTGATTCTTGAAGGTGGCCCCTGTATATACATATATACACAGTGTGCCTAGGTGTTAGCCAGACCAGTGTGTATGTTCAAATCCAAGCTAAAGACCTTTCTTTTTCATCAAGTTTTTCATAACATGACATCCTTATTCTGTTTTTTATGTACAGCACATTGAGAGCTTGCTTACTTGCGCTATATAAAAATGAACTATTATTATTATTATTATAATTATTACATAAGGACACTCAAGAAACATTTTTGCATTTGTGTAGGAGTTCTGTGTATTTCAGCTTGACGAGATAGAATAAAATAAAATATAAAGTTATGAACCACAAAAAAAATTTATAACTGAATGGATGAGAAAAATTTTTTTTGGCCTAATAAATGTTAGCCCTCTACTAGTGTTTTCCTTGCAGGTTTATTATTTTCTTTCCTGTGTGCCTGGAAGCATGATGTAATTAAAGTTCAAGGAATAATTATAAAAAAAATAATAATTCCACTCTTACCTTCTGCAAAAGAAAAAAAAAATGAGCATGAATCCACTATAAACAAAGAAAAAATAGAGTTTATGTTAATTAAATAAATAGGTCTGTTTGTTCTTTGAAAAGAGGTACCTGTAATGCATAGTAAAATAAATCTAAGGGAAGGTTGTAAATAAACAGTCTTGGGTTATTCTGCAGACATTCTCATACCAAGCTTTTTTTTATGTAGCCCTATTTGAACTGGTACAACCTGTTGATGGTTTTTAAATCGTGTGAGTTACGATGAATTTTAATGTGTCCTGACGTTAAGGAATTCTGGATGTTGGTTAATGTACTCATCTACTGATTGCCTGAAATTGACTTGTGTCTAGTTTGGCACGATAGATTTGATAACCTTTTCCTAACTAAAAAAAAAATCAATGAGAAATTTGCTTAAACGGGTGAATGGTGACATTTTATTTATTTATGTTGGTTTAATGAATAGAAACAGCTGTAGAGGGAGGTAAGCTACAGGGATGGTGAGGAAGGTAAATTATTATTATTGTTGTTATTTACATTGTTTTTGTTATTGTTTGTTGTTGTTTTTGTTATTGTTTGTTATTATCATTTATTATTATTTTCTTGGTCTCATGAAAATGACAGTATTCTTTAGGAGTAGTGTTTTTCCCTACTGTGTTATTGTACTGAATACTCAGTATGTTTCCCAAATAGGGATTTGGGTAGGAATCGAACCCACAACCTCCAGATAACTAGCCTGGTGTCATAACCACTAGACCACAAAGTTTGCACTAATGACTAGTGTTGAATCTGATTCCCAAGTAGTAGCGGGTACTGCAATGCTACGGAATTTCCTGATGCAAAACAACACAGAAATTACAATATTCTTGATAATAATGGATTGAAACTTACATACTTACCTTCCAATCTCACTCAATGCAAAGGCAGTGGTTTTCTGAATGTTGTCCAGGTATAACATAAAAATACAAAAGAGATAATTGAAAAAGAAAAATGTAAGGTAAACAAAAAAGGAATTAATTTCAAAATACAAGATACAAGATTCTTTTATTGTCACTGGTACATAAAATACAAGTAAAATTCTTCCCGATGCAAAAAAATTAGTATAAAAGTTAGACATATAATAATAAATTAATCAAGGACATAAATAAAACAGAAAATAGAAAAAGATACAATTATTTACAAGAGTTAGTTACTGAAGTTTATCTATAAAAATAGACGAGAGACCAATGAATTAAGTGAGAGCATCAATTTTTAGAAGTATATTGATTAAAATTATGGAAATCTTAAGCCACATAAAGACTTTGTTTAGAATATCATTCTCTTTCTTCGGTCAAGTGTACTTTTTAATTGAAAAATAAAGACTTTCAAAAAGTAGATAAAAATATAATCAACTGGAAAAATTATATATTATATATGCTATTAATAGGCAGTCTATAATATATTACTAGTAAAAAATAGTAAAATACCTATTTGTGTACGTAGTATTTTTTTAATGATTTGTGAGGGAGCACTTCATCCCTAACCTTGAGTATAAGCAAAATACTAATTATTATATTTTACACTTTGTTTCACATACACTGTGGGATTCCGCACTGGCAAATGTTTGCTTAATCCAACCACGGCATCTTCCTTTCATAAACGACGACTTAAAGCTTTCATTTGCATCTCGGCAGGATAAAAATGAATTGATTTATGAGTAAGCTCTTTTTTACCTACATTGTACTTATATCATTTCAGATTGATATTAAATCAATTTAAGGACAATAGATAAATCCTCCATCACCGTTCCCTCTGGGATCATCTTTGTTTAAAATTCCAGAAAGGAGAAACTTTAGAAGCCATGAATAAATTATGTTTTCTGCGATTGTTACACTAATTAGCTTTAGGGGATTTGTATCTATTTTTGTATTTTTTTTTTTTTGCTTTCTTAATATGTTCTTTGTCTTAGATGTAGACTTGTATCCCCTCAGTATGGTAGGTGTCCAGAGCCTATGGATTAACATCTGTACTCCCAGACTTCTTAGAAACTGCCGTTAATTCATTAGTATTATGTTTTTGAGAGTATATCTACTTCTTTGTCTTTTGGGGCTAATGATGTTAAGCTTTTTCTTTATTGTCTCATGTTCATTCCTCTCAAAATTAAAATGTTAGTCATCCAAGAGAACTGTTTCTCTCAAGATTATGCAGATAACTTTATGTTTGAAATATCCCTATCAGGTATTTGCAAAAATGTCTGCAGCGTAAAAATGTGATTCTTGTATAAATCAGAAAAAGTTTTCTTTAATTTTGGTGCTCTTCCTAAAAGTGTAAGTTGGGGGCGCTATTTCTTGCTCTGTGTTTCAAGCAAGTTTATCTGAATGGCATTCCTGTATTGCATTGCCCTTTCCCCCACCTCACCCACGCAGACTAACCCTTCATAATAATGTTTACACCCTACCATTTAATTATCCTGCACTATATTCTACACTAAATGTTATTCTCCAATGCATATATATATATACTTGTACCCTCTAAATAATATGTCTATCAATACACATACAAAAAACTAAACTACTTATAATTAACGTCCATAACAACATAATAACCGATTGATTTGATTGGACTACGAGTTTTCAAAAAGGTAATCCGTAGACTTTCTGATGATTAGCTGATCGTTGTTAACAGATGTAATTAATTATTCTCTTGGCCTAGTTCATAAAAGCAGGTCCGGATCTCCAGGGTCTGGTTCCTGTTGTCACATAATCACTCCTAAAATTACTTCCTACAAACACTTATACCTTTACAGATTCCTATATACCATTATTTCACCATATTATAATGTATTATAATTATAGAAAATAGTCTACCAAAGCAAATGTCTTCGATACTGATAAGTTCATTTGATGATGTTTTTAGTATAAGTGTGCTCCCTGATATGTTGACCTGTGTATTTATACCTAATGAATTTCTTTATATAGTACGGTATATGTATATAATCTTGGCAATAGTTGTTACATTTATTTATATACTGTACCAATATTTTGTGACATAAATGGTTAATTAATTAGTATTTTATGAGTTCATATAATGTGTGCCTACGTTTGTGTGTTTGATTTTAAATAAGAGTTTCCGAATTAAAAATTAATCTTAAAACGGACAGTTTGGTTTAGCTTGCCTTTAGCCCTCAAAGATCTGTTGGCATTTTAATTGATAGCCAAAGCATACAGTGGCATAGGTCAGCTTTGTGGGGATGCTGACACTGTCCTCACAACAGCCAATTCTGCTAAGTTTTGGGAGGGGAATGACTATAGAGTTCATTACAGTAGGGATTTAGTTCCACATTCACAATATTCGCAACCCTTCCCCAAGCCAAAAATAGCCTATGCCCCTAGCATCCTACTATCATTTCTTTTATCATTTCTCCAACTCCTGATGTTACCGTCCGTTTCGTCCATTTGTACCGATCTTTCTGAAACTGTAATTATAAACACCTACATAACAATTATATTTATTTTCCTAATATAAAGGTAACAAATACAGTACTGTATAGTACAGTCTGG